CATGCGTCATAAATCTTAGCTTCCCTTGTCAAATCATGAAAATTTTTCGGTAATACCCTTTCCTTTCTTATTCTCTTATTCTCACCTTTATAATCCACTGTTTTATCTATGATTGCATTAAAATCACCTAGAATGCATATCTCTTCATAGTGTATTTCCTTAATTTTGTTATACAAATTTTTGAAAAAACTTTTCCTGCAGGCCATTTGGAGCATAAATTTCTACCAAAAGAATCTTTCTGTTTTCTAATTTCATCTCCACCATGAGTATCCTGCCATCTTTAACTTTACAAATGTATTTAGCCAAAATCTTGTCTTTTATATATAACACCACCCCTCTTTTCTTTTGTTTGTCTAACAACGCGAAAACTTTCCCTAATTTTTTGTTATTTTACAAATATTTTATCTTTTCTTTTATATGTACTTCCTGTATGGCTATTATATCCACATTCAAATTTTGTAAATTGTGAAATATTTTTTTCCTTTTTGCCAGAGAATTTATACCATTGATGTTCATCGATATTATGTCGCATCCCTCCCTTTTCCTATCTGTTTCTTTGTCTAGTGCTTGTTGTTGCTTTAGTTTCTCTAGGTTCTGTATCCTGTCTTTCATATACTTCCACCTTTCTTCTTCCATATCTTCTCTCCTTATTATCTAATGAACTCTCTTCCTTATTTGTTGCTTCTGCTCCTCTTTCCTCTGTCAAACCTTTTCCTTCCCTCACTTCTTCCACTGTTGCCTCTTCTTCATTGACAAATTGTTGGTCATAAATCTCTTCTGCTTTATTAAGTGTGTCTAATCGGTACCTTTTCTCCTGCCAGTTGACCACAATTCCCCTTGGCATCAACCATCTAAAATTAACATTATATTTTAAAAGTTTTGCTGTCAAAAAATGATAGGGTCTCCTTAGATCCCTTACTCTTCTAGGCAACCTGTTTAAGGACAATTATCTGCTTTCCACTGTATTTTGCTGGGTCATCTCTCGCTTTGTGCAGTATTGCATCACAAGTCAATTTCTTGATCAATTGGACATGAACTTCTCTAGGAAGATTGTGCCTCCTTGCATAATTCGTCTGCACTCTATATGTTTCATCCATTTCCATCAGAATTTCTTTTTTTTTTCAGTCCCTAGTATTTTTGCAATTATATCCGCCATCACATCCAGCATATCTTCCTCTTTTTCCTCCTTCACATTTTGGAATCTCAAGTAGTGAGCTGCCTTTTCTGCTTCCAAGAAAATTACTGTAGATTCCAATTCTTTATTTGCTTGCATCAGCTTATCAGTCAGATCTTCCACTCCCCCTCCCCCTCTTTTTCCATTCTAGTCTCTATTTCCGTTATTCTCTCTTGATTTTTCTGCATCTCTTGTTGGTAACATTCAAAATTTTCATCTATAATTTGAATCTTTTTTTTTAGTTCAGATCTTACTGATCCTATCTCGGTTTTTAGAGCTTCATGATTTTTTGATAACATTTCTTGCATGCTCAGCATTAGTCCTTGTAAATCTTTTATTCAATTTGATTTCTCCCTTGGAAGCATTTCGTCAATAGATTTCTGCATGGAGGGGCTTGCTGTTGTTGCCATTGTCAATGTTTGTGTGGGTATTTTTTTCCAGCTCTTAATTTAGGCAAATTTGTGTTGCTTGTCATATTAAATAGCTTTACTATAATATTATTTTCCAACCATCTCTTCCAATTTGTCTCTTCCCTTTCAAAACCCTCCACTTCTATAAATTCTAACTTTTAACACAACACACTACAATAGATGGCTTCTTTTTCTTATGACAATTCTATATCAGCTATCAGATAAATTATATTTGGGTAGAACCAGTCTATCCTTAAATATTCAGTAATATGTTAAGCTGTATTAACAACCAATACATAGTTATTAATTTTAATAAATATATTACTTGAAATAGTCCCAATTAGTCAATCCTTAAAGACAATACTTGTATATCTAAATAATCTATAATATAGTAAAACAATATGTTAAAGCATAAAATATTAAAGAATTACTCCTATAATTATATTAATTGGCTTAGCTACTAAATATATAATATGTAATTTATATTTATATGATTGTATCAGGTATTTGTATCAGTTAAATGTATAAAACCTTAATATCAAGTATGTATAAATATCTAAATCCAAAAACAAGTATTATGTATATTCTATAATTACATATAATATTATCCTATATTATCCTATATATTCAAAGGTTTAGAAGTCAGAAAAACAGAAGCTTTAACATATAAAGAAAAGGAACCAAGTATCCTTTTTTTTACTTGTTACTGTTCAATTTTAGCTCAGTGGCCAGCAGGTGTCTCTCACCAAGCACTACAATGTCTCTTTATCATCTTCAAAACTGTCGCCTCACTGTCCCTGTATCATCCATTTTAATTTGTTCAAAGTTTCTTTATTCAAAGGTTTCAGATCAATTCAAAAGAAAGAGTAAAGCAAAAGTTAAGAAAATCCCATTCCGTCTCCGCACTTATTTAATCACAATTATCAGTTCTCTAAGGCTTTTAATTCAAATCCATTTAATTCAAATCCATTCAGTTCTTCTTTTTCTTCCTCATAATCACCACAGGGCTCACACCTCAGCAGCTCCTTAATGCTCTCAAATGTCTCCGTTATCCAAACTAAATCCAGGATTCACTTCCTGCATCAACTCCAAACACCAATCCAGTCACCTTTCTTCTATGCACAAGTCTTCTCCCCAGTCTAGCCGCCAGATCTTTTCTCTTTCTTGGCTTCCCTATCTTCTTCCAATCTTTTTGCCCACCATTAAATTTGCTGCTCCATTCGGTCTTAGCTAGGGCTAGCTTCAAATGCCAGGTTTTCTGCTTTTGGCACCCCTTTCCATTTTATTCACTTTAAAGTTATTAAGATTGTCAATTTCGTATGCACCTTCATTCTGCTATTTCACCAATAGTACAACCAGCTGCCAGTTTCTTTGGGCAGCCATTCCTGATCGTCCTTCGTCCATTTGCTCGATCCAGGTTCTCTCCACTCTCCCACACGAACCACCACCCATGTAGGTTCTTCGGCACCCCTACAACTTCAGAAACCCTACGAGCCTCCTTCTGACCCTGAAAGGTCCCGCAAAATGAAGTTAGAAGATCGTGCTTCGCAGAGTCTCCTGCTCGCATGTCTTCTTTCCCTGACAGCTGGCTCCGTCCCCCAATGTCACACTATATTTGATCAGTTGTGCTGTTAAAAATTGATACTGTCTCCTCTGCTCTCTGATTTTCCTAGGTATCTGTTTTGGGGTCAAGATTTCTCTCCCTTTGTACTTCATGGGTTTGTCTCTCATTCTTTTGTATATTTTATTTCTCGGTGTCTTCCTGGTGAACCTCACATGCACCTCTTTTGGTAATCTATGTCTTCTTACATAATTTGTGTGGATTCTGAAGATTTCATTAATATCTCTTTGTATGAGATACAGGATTTGTTGTGTGAGCCATGCGAGACGGCTTGTAGCCTGGGCGTGGCTTAGCTTAACTGTTCTGAGTATAAAAAGAGTTCATTTGTCTTTGCTTGAGTTCTAGTGCTTGTTCTTGTACTTGCTACTTCTTCTTTCTACCATGTTGCAAGAGCTGCATGGGTACTGTATACATGCATCATGTTTTATATTATTGTATATAAAGAAGTTTCTTTTATATAATGAGTCCTGCTGAATTATTTGTTTGTGTGCTGGCTGGATTGCTACAAATGCCAACAATTAGATCCTCAACCTTGTTAATGTTCTTAGAGAAAAAGTCCCAAATTTGTCTTTTTTTCTGACACTCTTCTTTCAGTTGTGTTGAAAAGTTTACATTTGAACCATAATAGTGAAAGTTAATATCAGGTTCTTCCAAAACTGTGATGAACTGCTCTGCATTTTCAGCTTCTTGTGAAGTTGCCTTGGTAGTTTGGTAACATTCTCCAAGTGTTTACATCTCAGGAGTAATTTGAGAGGATTTTTTTATCATCAGAATATAGATGGTCAACAAATTAGCATATTTTATTTAAGAAACCTTTCAAATATATCTCTAATACTTTGCTCCACATCTTGGCTTCCTCTTTTAATCAGAATCAGAAGATTTTAGCCACCCATAGCTAAGAAAATCAAGCTACCAGTTACTAGAATAGTAAACTAAAATCACAGCTTTCAATCTTTATCTTTCTCTGTTAGCTTTTTTTCCTCAGCACATTTCCTTATTTGGCTTGCCTTAGCAGCCTTCTTTCATGTTCTTTGAGACAAAAAGAGATCCTTAAAGTGGTGCAAATCTTCAAAAAGTTATAGCAGGCTGTAGCTAGAAGGGGCCTCTTTTAAGTTGACTTTAAAATATTCACAATTGTTGAAGGTGATTAAGAAGAGAAAGGCATAATTTACTGTCAGTTTGAAAGGTGAATTTCAAAACGATGTGGCTTCTTCAACCCCAAACAGATTGCAGCCCCTGCACTCCCAGCTTTTGGCATGCAGATAGCTTCAGAGTTCAACTCCAGAAGCTGTTTGCAAGCTTACAGCAGTATTGAAGGGTTCTGAGGGGAAGTTCTTCAACACACCTTGACTGGATGGGTCATAAAAACTGATGGGATGCCAGTCCCTTCAGTTAGAAGGCAGAAGATACACCCCATGGAAAAATCATTTGGAGATCTCTCCCCAGGCATGTGTTCAATTAGCCACGTTCCCAGGAAGTGGCATTTGTACATTGCTTGAGGTTTATCATACACAAGTGATTATCTCTCATATCTGAAACATTTTGTTTGTTTGAAGCCATGTGAAATAGAGATTTTAAAACCCCAGAGACATTTTCTCTTTACCATTTGTTGCTTGCATTATTATATTCTTTCTCTTTTCGAGTCAATGAATGTATTTTCATCATTAATGAGATACAATCAGTAAATAAACTAAGAAGATCCATACTATGTAGAGAATTTCAATACTGTTTCAAATAAACATTTATCTGCCATTTTACTAATGTTTGAAGATATCTCTTCTTCTGTCTCTCTTAGGATACTATTGACATTGGAATTCCAATAACTAATCCTACAGATGATGTTCTGGAATTAGATGTAGAATTAATAGATGCTATTATACTCAGTGGTGAAAACAAGTTTGTTCTTGAACCGAAAGAAATGTTATGTTATGAAGTAAAGTATTCTCCAGCTACCACTGGCCGTATGGATGGAAGGTATGTTCTGCTATTGTAGTGTCAGCTTTGGAAGCCATATTAGCACCAGAAGCTTCCACACTGCCACATTTTTAAGCCTGGGAATTTGGGAGAGGGGATTTTATGGAGTGTATGTAGTTAGACATAATAGCATTTTTCTCTAACGTCAAGATCATGTTATTTCTGCAGTTGGATGAGCAATGGTTGGGATGTCTCATGTTGGAACGGATAGTGATTGGGGCATGTGATGGAATGATGGGTGCAGGGGATGGATTTGTAATTTTTAATTATTGGAGGAAAACCCAGAAGTTTCAGATTCAGATTTTCCCAGATGTACCACCATGGCAGCTCTAATAAAATGGAACTTTGAGAAAATGCCTGTCTCAGAGTTTTGCTGTTGGAGTTTGTTTTCCTGGAATGCTGACATGTAGATGATATATCTTATACATTTCTTGTCATTAAATGTTTTCAATTTACTTTTATTTTGTGCTTTATTGTGAACTTTTATATTAATAAAAGTGGCTTATTACTCAGTGCATTCATCTTACGAATGAATGACTTTTAGATTGCTTTAGTACAGGTAGTCCTCAACATATGACTTCAATTGAGCTCAGAGTTTAAGTTGCTCAGTGAGACATTTGTTAAGTGAGTCTTGCCTCATTTTACAACTTTTCTTGCCACATTTGTAAAGTAAATCATTGCAGTTGTTAAATTAGTAACACAGTTGTTAATTGTATCTGGCTTCCCCATTGACTTTACTTGTCAGAAGGTCACAAAAGATGAAAACATGATCCTTGGATGCTGCAACTGTTATGAATATGAACTAGTTATGAAGCATCTAAATGTAAATCATGTGCTGCAATGATCATAAATGTGAAAAAATGGTCATAAGTCCTTTTTTCAGTACTGTCGTCACCTTGAATGGTCACTAAATGAACTGTTATAAGTTGAAAAGTACCTGTACTGGAACTTCCGGTTTGAAGGGCTTCGGCGACAGACAGAAATCCGCGATCGTGCACGGTTTCTGTCTGGGCTCGCTGCTGGAGCTCCCCGAGCCGGCTGGTTTCAGGGCTAAGCCACCCCATAGAGGTGGTGAAGAGGGGGAAGACCGCCAGCAGGGTTGAGGAGAGCCGCATCTCTCCTCCTCAGCTGGCCATTACTCCCTTTCCTGAAGGCGGTTGCAGCAGTGGTCAGAAATGGCCACCACAAAGAAGAACTCGACCGGAAAAGAATGTGCAGGAGGAAGATAAGAAGTGAAAGTTTTGGCTGACTGGGTTAAATTGTAAAAGCAACAACCAAGGTACCCTTGAATTTAAACTTACAAAAAAATAACATTGCTCCCAAAGAAGAGTAGGAAGCAGCTAAGGAAAGTGAAAAGGGAAAGGTTTGGCTTTTTTTTCCTTCTCTCTCCTTCCCTATACTGACAACTAAGAGACTTAAATAAGAAATCGGAAAAATCCAGTTTGACATCAATAGGCAATTAAGCTGAAAATAAAACAAAATGCCAAAGGGATAATAAAGATTTCTGGACATTAAAAAAATTCTACAGTAAAAGTTCAAAACTTCAGTAAATCTACAGTAAAACTTCAACAAGACTTCTAAAAGATACATTTTAACTGAAACTTTGCAACTAAATAGTAACCCCAGGAAGAGAAAGTAAAAAAAAAAGAGCAAAAAAGAAACAGCCTGCGTGTATTTGGATTATTTGGTGATCTTTGGATTCTTGGTTATTATATTTGAATGACTAAAATCAATCGGGTGGTTGTTTAAAAATGTATACAATGGCACCATTTCTAGATGAATTGAAAATGGAACTTAAAAAGTACAAAGAAGATGCACAAGAAGGAAAGGGTTCTTTTGGCTTCATTTTTCAATTCTTAGACATGGAGATTTGGAACTATGAGAAACAACAAGAAACGTCTGCAAAACAAGAAGACTGGGAGAAAGAAGAAGCCATCTTTAATGAACAAGTTATTTTATGTGGGGAAGAAAAAGAAAAGGGGGGAAAGAGAATGGAGAATTTAAGACTTAAAAAACAACCAAAGAAAAGAAAAATACTTCAAAAAATAAGTATAGTACTGGAAAGCAACAGAAAAGGGGAATACAGAAGATAGAAATAGAGGTAGAGAGACAAGGGGGTAAAAGGGGGAGAGAGAAGAAGAGAGGGAAGAAGGAAAGGAAAAGAAGTTATAAAGGACTGGAGCAAGATATAGAGAAACAGGACCTATTTAGAGATAATGGGTGAAAATCTAACTGAAAAAGGGATTCTGTAAAGGTACATAAGATTGTATTGTTACATTAGTAATAGAAATAACGTTAGAAAATTGGAAACAACGTATGATTAAAATAAGGGATAAAATAGTGTAATTTAGTGAAATGTTTGTGAATAAAATAAGTGAAATAAAATAAATGAGAAAATTGAATTAGGAAGGAACGGGAACATTTTAATTAGTTAATGTTTTATAAAATATAAGTGAAGAGGTGGGGGGAATTAACCATGGAAAGCTTATAATTGTTCCCATAGAAGTATGATATTTAATTGAAAAGTAATGGTAAAGATGTTAAGACTTTAATGAATATTAATATTAATGATAGAATTGAATTGGAATGGAATGTTGTTTTAATTATATACATTTATAATTTTTTCTTTTTTAAAGAATACGGTGTGTATTTTAAGAATGTACCAAGCAGAATTCGAATGGAAGTTATGTATTATATTGAATGTTACAACTTTAGGGAAAAGATATAAAGGCATCATAGTCCAATCAGTAACTACAGGAGAAATTTTGTTTAAAGAGAAAAGATAATAGATAATTGAAACAGGACAGACAAAAATATAAATACAATTATTTGAATTGAGATAAGATAATTAAAATAAAATTGAGAAAATTAAAAGAGGGGAGAAGCTATGCAGAAAATGTAAAATAGTAATAAGATATGGAGTAGAATGTAAAAAGGAGCATGAACCTGAATTTGTGTCTATACGAAGAAATGTAACCCGGGATTACGCTACTTTCAAAAAAGATGTTTTATTTGTATTTTTTTTCTCTTTGTGAAAACTCAAATAAAATTTACCAAAAAAGAAAAGAAAAGTACCTGTACTTGAACTGTTATAAGTTGAAAAGTACCTGTATTTTTTGTTTTTAATGTTGCCTTTTTAATGTTGTATTATGAATATTTCTGTTTGGGACACAACCTTCAAACTGATGAGTTTCCCCCCTTGAAATACATTCCTGGTGATGAATGACTTTTGTTTCATGTTTTCTGTGAACTTAAAAGTACCATCTGGCTTTCAGAGGAACCAGCCTCAATAAAGCTAATGAAAGAAGCACAGTGAAAAAGTCAGTGGTTGTTTTCTTCTGCCTTCACCAATGATCTTTTCTTTAGCTTCTTTTCTTCTAGACTGATCTCTGTGAGCATACATTTCTGATGTAAGCTTAGAAAGATATAGAATATGTTAATCTATTTCAGATTGTCTCCACTGATTATTAATTAATCAGCCTATTTTTGGTGAAATTAGGAAGAAAATTATCTGCATTATTTTTACCACTGAAGATCATTACACGTTATAAATTTTGGCATTGTAATTTTAGATAAATAATAGGAAATAATGAAAGGAGCAGAATTTATTGCAATTTTGGAGTATTTTTGGTGCTTTTAAAAATAAAAATAGTTTTAGAATTGAAAGATAGGATATACACATATTTATTTTGGCATATCCAGGCATTTAATTCTACAATATTTTAAGAAGAAATGTAATGCAATCTTATTTCTGTATGTTCTTTGTGGATTAGATTATTTTCTGTGGTCTGAACTTTTTAGATTTATATATGACATTCTTTATGGTTTTTTACTCCTAATATTATTTTTAGCTAAAATTTCTTGTCTGTACTTTTTATTTATTTTAATTCTACTAGTCTATCCTATAGATAAACTGCATGGCTATATACACATGATTTACTTTGTGCTAGTTAATGATGGAGGAGGAGGAAGAGGTGATGATGATAATGATTATGATATTTATAATGTTGATGATAATATACCTAACCTGTGATTAGATGTAAGAAATTAATTAAGATAAAACAGGATCACTTTGCTGATCCCCTTTATTATCTTCCCTTCCACTTTGTTGTTGTCTTTTATCTAACAAGATAATTTTACCAACAGATTTATAACTCTTATTTTAGTGTTATATTTACATCAGAGAAATTAGGAGAGTTTTGGTATGCATTGAAGCTGATTGGACAGATGCCTCATCCAATAAGATTGCCTGAAATAGAATGTGAACTTGGAAAGTAAGCAATCCTATATTTAACCTGAATTATGGGTTTAGTTATTGTTCTTTGATATTGAAACAACTAACCATTAGTTCAAATCTTGGCAGACTTGGCTGGAGACTACAGATAATCCTCAGCTACATTAGAATTTTTTACTGCAGACAAAAATGAAGTTTCAGCATAATAGTTCATTTCCTGCTATAAATATTTTCCTGAGACCTACAGACAGAATAACACAGTTGAAAGGGATCTTGGAGGTCTTCTAGTCCAATGACCTGTTCAAGTAGGAGACCATATACCATAATGAACAAATCACTGTCCAATTTCTTCTTGAAAATGTAAATAATGGCATACCGACTGGAGGCAAGCTGTTCCATTTATTAATTTGTTCTCACTGGCAGGAAATTTCTCCTTAAATCTAGGTTGGATCTCTCTTTGATAAGCTTCTATTCATTACTTCTTATCCTGCCTCAGGTGCTTTGGAGAATAGGTTGACTATCTCTTCTCTGTGAAAATCTCCAAATATTGGGAGACTGCTATCGCATCACCCCCAGTCCTTCTCTTTGTTAGACTAGTCATTCCAAAATGGAATTGATAGTTAACACAATTGGAGAAAACCTGGCATTCATTTGACTAGAAAACATAAACATAGCCATCTTATATTTTGTGCTCAGATTTACAAGATAATGAAGACATATAGCAGTTTTGCTATAATAAATGCTATTTGGAGAAGTTGCCCTTGACAATTATTTATATTGAATTATAAATTATTATAAATTATTATCACTTATGTTTTGGTAATTATTAATTTTTGTCTGGTTTTTCTGAAGACAGATTTTTATGGAGTGTAGGTATGCATATTATCTCTTCCCGGATGCAAAATATTTTTTTCAAAAACTTTTGTAATTGATACCTAGCTAGCATGATCTATATAATATCTTAAAATATAACTAATCTGATTCTAAAGCTGTTAACTTTCATTTCCAAAAGTTGTTATTAAAATGCTTTAGATTATTTTAATACATCATGCTTACTGTGTTAATTCTATTAGAATCCATTACTGGTTTTTAAATATGGTAATGACTCTACCTTGAAGAATGCTTCTTTTCTTTGATCAGAATTTCTGTCAATTCATGATGACAAAATATGTGAAATCTTTGCCACAAAAATAAAAAAATCAGTATTAGCATTGGTAAAAACAAAATGAATAGTGCTGAAGATAGTTGCTTGAATAACTTTTCAAAGAAAACAAAGTGCTATTTAAATAAAGTAACCAGCAGCAACATCAGAATTAGTCAAGTACTTTATCAGAATTAAATAACTGGATTTTTTGCGGTGTTTTGTTACAGGTGGGTCAGCCAGCATATTCCTCTGGTTAATTCTACATATGAAATTCTAGAATTGGAATATGTGAACAGCAATCCAGGCCATTTTTCAATGGAGATTGACCCCAAAACCAAAGTAGGTTTAACTGATAAACATTGCTATTTATGAAAATGTTTCATATGAAACACATTCCTTTAACAATTTAAATATTGCTCACATATTCTGTTTTATTGCTTAGAAGAAAAAACTGTCTGTATGAACTCTGTATTTTGTAGAAAACAAGTGGAATTTCAGGCCAAAATTTGAATGAAGTTAAAACAAAGCCCAAGAATGATGTAAGAGTTAGAAGTAAACACAAATGGAGCAAAGAAAAACAATGCAATATAATTTAGAAGTCCCTACAATTATTTTGGAAAAAAAATCTCCTAAATTATGGAAGCTTTAATGTTTAGCATTCCCTTATGTCACAAAGAATATATGAATTGAGTGACTTGGTGACTTCATAAACAGGTTAATTCTGTTGTCTTCACAACAGTATGGAATGGTTTGCTTTTGTCTTCTCTGAGGATGAGTTTTTCAACCTTGTACTCTAGTTCAGTGGTCACCAACCAGTGGACCGGGGACCATGAGAAAGTTTTGGTGGTCCGCAGAGAAATGTCACCTCCAAAGCACCCCCCAAAGCAATTAATCCAGGCTGAGCAGGAACACAAGGCTGTGCCACATGGCCCGCAGGAACACAAAGCTTGCATTGCTTGCATTGCAAACAACATGAGGTAGTGAGCAGAGGGGGGAAACTTGCCCCACTCAACCCACACGCCTTACTTGGCCACCAGGCTGCTTCTTTTTGCTTCTTTCTTCTTCTGCTTTTGGCTGCACGCAAGGAAAGCAACAAAAGTCTTTCTTTCTCTCCCCCAAACTCTGCCAGAAATGAGTCTTTGGGACCTTGCAAGGCATCCTGCTCCAAGTGGCTGTGCCAGCATGACAAGTCTCACAAAGACTCATTTCTGGTCGAGTTTTGGGGAGAGAAAGAAAGATTTCTGCCGCTTCTGCTGCTTCTGCTTCTTTTCTTGCATGAAGCCAAAAGGCGTGCTCTCTCTCTCTTCTTCTCCCCCTGAGAACGGAGCTGGAGATGGTATCCTGCAATCCCAAATAAAGAATGATCAATTGGTAGGAAAATGGGACGGGGAATTTTCCTGCAGACTTTTGGAGGGATTTTCCCAGGGTCTCTGGTCTGCAGGATTTAAAATTATGAGTTTGGTGGTCCCTGAGGTCCAAAAGATTGGCGACCCCTGCTCTAATTAGCAGTCTGGATTTCTTACTGTTATCCCATCTAAGTATTAAGTGGGTCTGACTTGTTTAGTTATTTTTAATCAGCTAATGCTAGCAAGATACAGAGTGGTATAACACTCTTTTTATCATAGTAAATTGTGGTTAGCAGGTTATGGCATTCAAGGGCAATGAACTCATGTACAAGGTAAAAAACAAAATCTATATATATAAAAGTGAAATACCACTCACACATCATCACAAAATCTCCAGAACCGTAAAGCCTACAAACTTGAAATTTAGCATGTAGGTTCCTCTTGGCTTCTAGGTGCTCCCTGAGAAAGGATTTTTCAAAATGACCATCAGAACATTAGTATTTCATATATTATTATTAAGATGCTCTGATGCTAAATAAGTTCTACTCCCCTTCCCCACCTGTAAAGAAATCTGTTCCAAATGCAAAACACAAGCAGAGGACAGGAGTTTCTGTTTCAGTTTTAGTTTCACAGCAGCAAGCAGCTTTAGTACAGAATGGTTGAGCTAAGCCACACCCAAGCACCTTGCTGTCTCCTTCTTGCTCACACAGCAAATACTGTTTCAGTTTCCATGTTTCAGTTTCCAAACAGCTCTCAACTCTCTCACACACTGACAGGATGCTAGCTAGATGAATACCAGTGGATGCTGGTAGGCAGAGGCATAATTCTTCCCTCTTATTTTCCTCCCGAAAAACTAAGTCTGATCACATAGTTTCGTAGCGAAGCACAGGTATAGAGCTAGTATGATATATTGAAGAAAGCTAAGAAAATGACAGAAAGATTTTAAAAGAATACATTAAAGTGTTTTACAGACTTCTTCAACCAGTTGCACATCTCAGTATAAGAGAACTGCATGTTTCTTGCTAGTTTTTGCAGTGAGTCTTAGCAAAGTCAGCAAATTTGTTGAATCTCTAAATTTTTCCAAAGCTGCTGAAGTTACCTAATTTGTTTAAGTTTTAGTACTACAAAATAGTCTGAGTCTTCTTTGAATCAAATCATTCCTTTGAAGCTTGTATTAACTTTTGTAAACAGCTCCAATAAGCCAATATTATTTTATACTAGTTTTTCAGAACTTATTTCCTTAAAATGAATAGGTTGATCAAAGATATATAACCTCCCTTCCAGTGGGATTTTTACATAGTGGCACAAACACTTGAGAATGGAGAATGGAATAGATTTCTATTTAATATTTTATTATTTAATCCTACTAAATTGAAGAGGAAGTGGAATCAGCAAAAAGAGAGATGTCAAGTTTGAACAGTTTCTGACCCATTTGAATATTTATCTCTATTCAATTTGCCAATGAACTGGGGTGCGGGGGAGGAAGGAAAGGGTGAGAAGGAATACAGACAACCCAAGAATAGACCGTGCAAGCCAAGAACCCATCAAGGTCACTTCTGCAGGTGTCTGACAAAGAAATGAACTGTTCCAAAAACAAAAGATTGATTCTTAATTGGACAGTGTGATCACTATGGGTGGGAAGAAGGGGAAACTAATGTTTAACTATGTAGCATTGCATAGGAAAACCTCAGAGCTGGTTTTATTTCTTCAGTGCTGAAATGATGCATCCAATAAAGTTTTACTTTTGGAATTTTAAAGTTCCTGAGAGTGTCTACTTTTCTTGGGTTCGCTAGTCGAACAGAGGACAGTAAACCAGCTCTCTTTTTAACCCATATTGAAGCCTACTTGGCTACCTCCAAGAGTGCTGTGAGGGGAGATGGAGGAAGATGTCTGGGGCAGAAGGAAAAGTGGAGATGGCAGCAAAAACCAGGGTGGCCCTATCCATGGAGGTGCCAGTGGGAACTCTAGCAGACTGCGAGGCGCAAGTGGTCATGATCTGATCCAAAGAGCGAACCAAGAAAGCAGAGAGGAAAAGTGGGAAAGGCTGCTGAGGAGGATTTCCCCCTATTCCTACCAGGAGTAACTATAACCCATGGATCAAAATGGAAAGCCAGAAGGGCAATGCCAGGAGGGCAGCGGACTGGGAAGAGCTGGCGGACTGGAACTTCCTGACTTCGTACTGGAGTCCTTCAGTGGAACAACTGAGAACAGTTCATGGGCATGAAAGTATGGGGTGCAACATCGGTGCATTCAACCTTCTTGGAACCAGGAGCTGGTGCTGGTCAACCCTGAACCACTGTGCGGCCTTTGCTTTCCTGAACCCAACCCACAATGCTGAGGACTGTGACTCAAGCTGCAGGGAGCTCCCAAGAGATGACCATACCTCCCCAATTGGCCCTGGGACAAGACCAAGTGCCCCAGGGTACAGCAGGAGTTGAGGCACATGCAATCTCATAGGCGGTGGGTTACCATTGGGTACATCCTGGTCCAGGACAATCAAGAGTCTCCCTGCCTGAGAAGGGAAACCGGAAAAGCTAGCCTACTTCCTGAACCAGGTGTAGAACCACATGGACCAGTACAAGGCTGTCTACTTAAATGATGTGGTGATGTCATTGAGAGCATGGAGGGTGAGGCAGCAGATTGGGTGGTGCTCCTCCACAGTGAAGAGGTGCTGGAGTTGGGGATGTGGATACTTTCATGGAAGAGCTCTAGATGTTAGTGTTCCAGGAAAACGAACTCCAACTCCAAAACTCAGGCATTTTCTCAAAGTTCCATTTTATCAGAGTTGTCATACTGGCACATCTGGGAAAACCCAAATCTGAGAGTTCCAGATTTTCCTCCAATAATTAAAAATCACAAAATCCATCCCATGCACCTATCACTCCATGTACCTATCACTCCAATCATCATCCTTTCCAACTTGAGACATCCCTTTAACCATTCCTCATCCAGGTGCAGGAATAACAGGACCTTGACTGTAAAGAAGAATGCTACTATGTGTAACTACGAACACTCTATAAAATTCCCCTTCCCAATTTCCCAGGTTCAGGAATGTGGCAGCATGGAAGCTTCTGGTGCTAATATGACTTCCAAAGCTGACACCGGAATCAATTTGGAGACCCCTCATGTGCACACCAAGCCAAAGCATCATTGCAAAAGACCAGACTTGTGGCCAAGTACATCAATGAATTCCTAGGTTTGGTGGGGAAACTGAGAGGGTGGCCAGAGTGCTTGCTGATCTACCATTTCCGAGATGTGCTGTATCAGGAGTTGTACCAGAATTCTCTGCCTCGAGGGGTCCCTGACGAACTCCAAGCATTATGTGAGCATTGGATTTTTTTCCCTTCAACCGAAAAGAATGAACTTCTGAAAACTAGGTGTTTCAAAAGGAATCCTTTATTGAAAGGGGTTTTATCTCAACACTAGGCAAAGCAGAATCTAAGATACCCCCAGTCATACAGTCATAGATAAATGAAATTAAACCCCGCCCTCATTCAGATGTGGATTTAGTCAAACAAAGAACCAACAAGTTAATTCCCCCTCTCCCCTTCTCTAGGAACGTATCTTGCAGAGTTCCCAGGAGTTTCTTCCAGGGTTGGAATTTTTATAATCCCTTCTCATCCTGTTATCTCTTCCAGAGGTGACAAGTTTCTGGACATCTGGCTCCACTTCTCTGGATGTATATCATGTGCAAGTTATACAGAATCAATATTGGATTTAATATATTCAGGTTACATCAAAAAAGATTACTTGTACCAACTTCCCCCTCTCTTCTTCCATTGAAGAATAGCAGATACACGGATCTGACAAATGGTACCAGTTGGACCTGATGAAGTACAAGCAGCATGCAAGTCTAGGAAATCGACCCTGAAAAAGCCAAGAGAGGTGCTCACTGGGATGGAGAACCTCGTCATTCCCTTCTTCCTCAACTCCAAAGGAGACCCTGTGGCATTCATTGGGTGCCTGCTTCTGATATAGTCAGGCGGGCGATTGGGCTTGTCCAGCACCACAGCCAATGATGGCCCTGAGCCAGCTGAAAGCTTAAAAGGCACTAAAGAAGACAAAGGAAAAGACACAGGTGGTGCATCCATTCATGGATGTCTCTCCCCAATCCAGCAAAGGGAAGAGAACTCCGGCCACTGACAAGCCCAACCTAATCTATGAAAACAATAGCAAGGGGAAAGATGACCTGATGATAAGTGGAGCCATTGCCCCTTTCACTGCCCAAGTGGAGATTGTAGTGTCCCATTCTGGAGCCCAGGGGATCTTTACTGACAGACTTAGGCTGCATCCACTGTCTGGTCAGCTTGCAAACTATACAAAAGCTGGGGTTGAGAGTGTTATAGTTTGTTACAGAAAATTAAATCCAGAAAGCACACCCAGATAACTGATGCAATAGGATTCATTAACTTCTTTATATACATAATAATACATGAAGTAAATTAACAATACCAACAGCAGATTCTTCCAATGTGGTAGAGAGGAGAGATTGTAAGTAAGTTTCAGTTCAGCAGACGGACGAGACCAGAGCTGAGTTTTATAGCTGAGCACAGAGCTAAGCCACACCCAGACTAACATCAAGCTTGGAACTGGATTGAAAATTATTTTATTTCTGTCTGACCTTCCTTAAATGACTTGAGTTTTATCACATCTTATAATGATTATGTGGCCATTGCATGTAGTAATGAATCAGTCACTTTTAATTTAAACTAAATAAGTCCCAGCAAGATAGTTTCTTTATTTGTATGTGTTGGAAGAGCATAGAGACACTTCAGTTAAAAATAACTTGTATAATGCTAGTTAAAATTGCATTTTGACTTTATAAGATTGTATCATGTGCAAGACTTAAAAGTATCTCTGTGATGTGCAAAAAAAAGGAAAAAAAATTTGGTAGCAGTATATGACTTGAAGAACCGAAGCTCTCTTTCCCCCCATATGTTAAAAGCAACCCCAGTTCCATTTTTGTGGTTAGCAATACATTATCTAGTTTCTAGGGAATAAGCATGCTGTGATTTCACTTAGTACTGTTTACTGCAGTGTATTTATCAATTTTAGCAGATCCTGCATGCTGAGAGTAGGGAAGTCATACAGTGGTACACATTAATCATGTATATATCAACAGTGTTGATACAAGGAACAAGAAAAGAATTGGATTGAAAAGAAAGGAAAGAAAAAAAAGGAACATTGGGTTTTTTGTTTGTTTGTTTGTTTACTTGTTTGCTTTTCATCGCTCTCTTCCCTATCCATGTTTTTGCAGTTGACTGTTGCTCCTCATTCCACTACTGAAATATCAGTTCTGTTTTGTCCATCTGCATTAGGAAGAACAAATCACACTGCAAGCATAATTTTCAAATGCCCACAGGTAGGAATGTCCACTTACATTTAATGAATAACAGATTATCTAATATTAACACAAGTAATTGTTAGGCTGACAATAAAAGCAAGTTTTTAATAGTATAGCTCAACTGTAATTTATAAATAAATAAATTATAAATAAATGCACCTCCAAAATTGGGTTTGACTTATCCATAGATGTATGGTGAATATGCAGTATATAAAGATAAATATTTTTCTTCCTCCTTCCTTCCCTTATGTTTCTGACTATAGCTTATAATGTAATTAAGATCTTTAGTAATAATTATGAGAGGTTGTCGTGGCTACATGATGGTACTTGAGACTAATTTGCTTTGCTAACAATGCAGCTATAAAACACAACATTTGGCCATATTACTTAGGAACAACAATTTCAGTAATCTCTATTGCCATCATTGATCAAGCAACTTCCTGCTGGCTTCCAACCAGAAAAGCCAATGGGGAAGCTGATAAGAAGTCACAAGTCTCAGGTGGCAGGTAAGTGGTTGCAGTGTAGGGTAGAGCAAATGTACTATACAGGGCAGGGGAAAGATGCTCTGGAGAGCAGAAGAGTGTACAAGTGGCTGCTATAGCCTGATACAAGTGTAGCTTGATGAGTATTGATGAGCTTGATGAGATGATAACCACAACCACTACCTCAACTACAATCACAACTACAAGCAAAAATAACCACTAAACCACAGCCACAAACAATTACTATCTCTTCAAATAATTCCACAAATAATATCTCCTTACTCATCAGAGACACCGTTGAACGTGAACAGAAATGTCCAAATGCTATCTTATTTGGTCTTGAAGGCACCAATGAATCAGACTACATCACCAAAGTTCGCGATATTGTAAGCAACTCCAATATAACAAACATTTCTCCTGAAGATATCATTGAAATAACCAGAGATGGCCCTGAGTGTAAATACAATGATGGCTCTGTAGCCCCAAGATTTTGTAGAGTTGTATACAAAAATGAGTCCAGCAAATGCATATTCATTCATACAATAAACTCCATTGCAAAAACCAATCCCAACCACAAAAAACTTCGCTCAAAACCAGACATATCCATACTGCAAAGAATCCATTCCCGTGAACTCCATGGCATAACTCAAAAACCGTCTAGACAATGGAGAAAAGGATCTATACATTGACTACCGAGCTGATTGCATCAAAAGAAAGTCACACAACCCACAACTCCGCATCCAACCCCACCCCATCCAATCCAACATCACTCAAAACTAGGCACGCACACCCCTAACTACCTCTATTCCAACCACAACTGGCCTTAAATGCAAGCTACTCAATGCAAGAAGTCTTGCAAATAAATACCTGAATTTCTCCTCTTACTAAATATGGCTAAATTCGAACATCATATTGTGAAACATGGCTCAACGCATCTCTCCCTGATTCCATTACCACAATAAGAGACTATCGTGTTTACCGATCAGATCGTGAAATCCGTAGAGGAGGTGGTGTTGCTATCTTCTATAAAAAGTCCTTACTTTTCTGGAATGCTTTTAGAATTGTTATTTTTATATGTTGGAAGAAATATCCTTCTGGGTTCAGTTCCAAGTGGGAAAAAAGACACTGGATTCATGGAAGTTGCTTGGAAAGAAGGTTTAATGGTAGACAGGACCATGTGCCTTGGAGCTCCTGAGCGAAAAGGGAAGAGATGCTGAGAGTCCCTTGGTTTTATGCCCTCTCTGTGCTTTGAACTTGCTTCCTGTTCTGGTGGCAAGATATGTATCCTGATTGGTTGTCAGATTCCCATGGGGCCATGCAGGGGTGGCTTGGTTGAATCTTACGGGTGATGCAATCTTCCCATGTGCCATGTGGTGAGATGGGTAGAGGGCAGAGGTGGTATTAAACAGGTTCTGACCAGTTCTGGAGAACCAGTAGTGGAAATTTTGAGTAGTTCAGAGAACCAGTAGTGGAAATTTTGAGTAGTTTGGAAAACCGGCAAATGCCACCTCTGACTGGCCCCGCCCCATCTATTCTCTGTCTCACGAGTCACAGCTGATTGTCTGGGTCTTCTTTGTTGCCCTGCACAGGAGAACGGAGCTGGAAAGCAGATTAGTGGGGGGGGAGGGGATCCTTCCCCCGGGAGTGGGGTGGGAATGGAGATTTTACAGTATCCTTCCCCTGCCATGCCCACCAAGCCACGCCCACAAAACCAGTAGTAAAAAAAAATGAATCCCACCACTGGTAGAGGGCTAATTCTATCATGCCCTGATCCCATCACCCTGGTGCAGGGAGGTGAAGGTGGGGCAGGGAGCTGCAGGAAGCTGCTTTGTCTCCTTTTCTCATCCAGGGAAATATAATATTCTGCCTTTTTGATATTTCCTTAGAATATTTCATTCTTCTAGGAGAGTGGTGGGTGCTAACTCTCTACATACAACTGTCCAACTGTCAAGAACTGTGTTCTTTTTGCAAATGTATTCATATTTACTAATTGTATTTGCTTAGAAGTGAGGATGAACTCCAATATTCCTCAATCCTCTAGAACAATTTTTGAAGGTCTACTGAGGTAGGGGCTCCCAGTATGGGAAATACAACTTTTGGAAACAAGATTGCCAGTGCAGAAGCAATTCATTGTGTTAAAAGAATTTAATTTCTGATACTGTGTTTGGGGTATAACCTGTGCTGCTTCACTGTTACTTAAGTATCTGTATTTTTTTAAAAAATATTTACTTTGAAATGTTTCATTACCTGTACGTAATATGTATTTTGGATTTCTTAACAAAGTACTTGTTTCTATAAAAGTGACTCTCATTAATAAGTCTTTTCTGTGTAGAATGCCCAACTTATTTGCTCTCAGGTCAAGTAATTTTTCATTTAATGTTTTTATAGTTTTTTCACTGTTATCAAAATAGTGCAATAGTTATTCACAGCAGGAATCTGATTCATAAGAGATTTGTCACTGTGGGAAGAAATATCCATCTGATTCAGTTCCAAGCTGGGAGAAAGACACATGGAGGCTAATTGGAAAGAAAGTTTAATGATGAACAAAAGCAACAGCACTCCTGGGTCAGGGGTTTTTATACCTTCTTTGAACTTTGTATTTGAGCTTCCTGTTCCTGTGCAAGAACATGTCTTCTATTGGCTTTTGTCCGATTCCTATGGGATCATATAGGGGTTATGTAGGGATCATAGCCAAAAGAGGAAATACAAATCCTAGTGTTTGCCTGAGCTAAGTTTAGTTGAAGTTTGGACTGATCTGAAAGGGTGTTTCTATTGTGGCTTGATAATTTTGTCCTGTGTTGGATTTTGAGTGAGGGCTAATCCTACCATTCTGCCTTGTTTTAAAATTTCCTGTCTTGAATGGATTACCAAATCTGCATTTCTAAAAGGTTTGGTTTCTGAATAAGCTGGCCCAATCTTTCTTAATGGGCACAAAATATCTACTGAGGCTATTAAGGAAAGAAGGTGTTGCTTTCTGCCTCTAAAAACATGTTTCTCCATTTCTCCCTTTATAGAATATTCTGCCTTTTTAAATATTCCTCAAAATATTTTATTCTTTTGGGGGGTGTCCCACATCATGTTTTTGTTGTATAAAAATGCAAAAAATAGGTCTCCATGAGAAGCCATTGTTCTGTGTGCTATAGTGATGAAGAAACTAGTCCACTGTCACAATGACAGGAATAACCAGTTTGTTAAGAAAGAAAATTGTCTTATAGCATTTTCCCAAATCATAATGAATTATAGTAATCAGAATCAACAGGATTCAGTGGGAAAGCAGCAGAAGACTGACTCTCCTGTGGTAAAAGTATTTTCCTTACACTCTAGCTCTGAGTTTGTGTTGTAATAAACATAAGAGTACCAAAGCTATTTGACTGGCATGGAGTCAAATCAGTGGTGGGATTCAGCCAGTTCAAACCACTTCAACAGAACCGGTTGTTAAGTTTCTGAGCAGTTTGGTGAACTGGTTGTTGGAAGAAATAATTAGGGCAGAGAACCAGTTGTTAAATTATTTGAATCCCACCACTGAGTCAAATGTATTTATACATTTTTATTTGATATAAGATGTATATATTTTATTTTAGAGCAAGCTAAAACACTTAATCTAGTTAAAATATGAGCCTTTCTATCCATTTACAGTTTGAGGAATGGATATTTTACTTGTCGGGTATTGGTCGGATACCTCAACCAATGGAACCAGCTAGTGTCAGTTCTTGTCTTGGTCAGCATTCTTCTATCATTGTAAACTTCAAGAATCCTACATTTGAAGAAGTTGTGGTAGATATCATTTTAACAGGTATGACTGCCCTCATTTTCTATTATGATTGAGAAATTGGATTGTCCATTTTAAAAAAAGCTTTCTACTGTATACCATGGAATGATGTTTTCTTTTTTAACATTTTAATTATATAAAACTAATTTCTACCAACAATGAAGATTGTGATACATGGTAGGCCTTCTACCATTGTAACTAGGATGTGATATACGATTTTATTTTGCCAACAACTACCCAACCCTAGAGAAGATAGGCTTGTATAAACAGAGGAATAGAATTGAAAGCACGTGAAGTATTTAGCACCACTTTAGCAAAGCCTTAGTAAAACTACACTTGGAAAACTACATCCAGTTTTGGTCTCCACATTACAAAAAAGATGTTGAGACTCTAGAAATAGTGCAGAAAAGAGCAACCAGAATGATTAGGGGACTGGAAACTAAAGCATATGAAGAACGGTTACAGGAACTGGGCATGGCTAGTCTAGTGAAGAGAAGTACCAGGGGAGACATGATAGCAGCATGCCAATACTTGAGAGGCTACCACAAAGAGAAGGGAGTCAATTTACTTTCCAAAGCACTAGAGGGCAGGACAAGAAACAATGGATAGAAACTAAAGCCAAAGACAGAAGCAACCTGGAGTTGAGGAGAAACTTCCTAACAGTGAGGACAATTAACCAATGGAACAGCTTGCCTTCAGAAGTTGTGGGTGACAGTCACTTGTTTGAAATGGTATAGGGTCTCCTGCTGGAGCAGGGGGCTGGTCTAGAAGACCTCCAAGGTCCCTTGTAGTTGAAGTTGTACTGTAACCAGGTTAATCAGCTCCATTATAGGGAATGGGCCCATAAACTTAGGACCAAGCTTTTTTGAGGCTAACTTAAATCTCAGATATTTTGTGGACAAGTAAACCTTGTCCCCCACCTTAAACTCTGGTTGTAGAGCCCAGTGCTTGTCAGCCCACTTTTTATAAATCTTCGCTGCTTCACTCAGGGTGTCAGACATGTCTCCATTCAAAACCCAAGAAAGAAAACCCTGACTCCCATGTTGTAAAGAAGAGGTACTTTTACTGAGTTTGAAATGATTCCAATGAAAGAAAAGCAAGATCTAAGGCAATAGGCATAAAAGTTACATATAGAAAGTTTTCCCAATCCCCTCCCACAGTGGGAGCCACAGTGAATAATCAATCCCTATTTCATATGGTGTCATGTGGGGTGCATCTTCAGGTGTTTTTACCCATCTGGAATGCTGAGACCATTGACCTTGACTGGGCATAAACAAGTCCATGAAGCTGCACAGCAGCAATCCTCCCTTTTGGTTCACACACATGCCGTATTCTTTCCAGCTCACTTCCCCACCCAAATGCCAATCTGTCCCACCCCCTCCATTATTACAGAAGCTGACAGCAAGCAATCAGGGAGGCTGAGGTTCAGCCTTCCTGCAGTAGAAGCATTAGCCCTGGGGAAAAAAACAGTAGAAAACAGGCAAAATAGGAACAAAGCAGAACATAAGGTCATTTACAATAATACATTAAGGCTTATCTGGGTATTTAGAGCAAAACAGCTGTACATGTTTAGGGGCCCTGACATCATGCATGTTCACCCATTCAGACTGAGAAGGAGGAAAGTGTTTCTAGACAACCAAATACTGAATTTCCCCCCTATATTTCCTGGAATCTGAGATATCTTTGACCTCAAAATGCTGCTCATCTTTGACAAGGAGGGGGGAAGGAGGGGCAGGTCGGTCTGGCTGAAGAGAGCAGGCGTATTCAGGTTTCAGCAAACTAACATGAAACACAAGGTGAATCCTTCTAAGGCTTTTAGGCAGCTCTAACTATACCATGACAGGGCTTACAGTCCGTACAATGGGGAAAGAACCTACATACTTAGGTCCCAATTTATTTGACTTCTGTGTGGACTGTAGGTACGTATTGAACAAGAAAACTCTATCTCCAACATAATAACCTTTCAGCAAAGCTCTTTTCTTGTCTGCCTGTTTCTTATGAGCTTGATGAGCTTCGTCTAATGCTTTACGAGTGACAGACCATATAAGCTGAAGCTGCTCAATCCATTCCACCAGTGAAAGGGCTTGGGGCTTCTCCTGAGGAAGCTCAGGAATGGGTACAAAATCCTGACCAGAGGCTACTTTGAATGAGGTAAACCCAGTGCTACTATGGATGGAATTATTACAAACGACCTCTGTGAACAGTAGTAACTCAGCCCAGTTATGTTGCTGATAGCTTACATAACATCTGAGGTATTGTTCAAGTACCGAGTTAGTTTTTTCACAAGCCCCATTAGTTTGAGGGTGGTGGGAAGAGCTTAGGCCTTGGGCAGAGCCTAACAACTTAGAAATTTCCTCCAAAAGTGAGAGATGAATTGTACCCCCCCATCTGAAATTATGCATTCAGGAACACTATGTAACCTATACATACATTGAATAAACAGTTCTCCTGCCAACATTTTAGCAGAGGGAATCTTCGAGCAGGGTACAAAATGCATGTGCTTGGAAAACAAGTCTATAGTCACCCAAATGACTGTATTTCCCCCACTCTCAGGTAATTCAACAATGAAGTCCATGGATATTTCTTTTCATGGAGCATTAGGCCTAGCAACATTCTGGAGCAGTCCGGTTGGTTTGCCAGGAGGATTCTTTGCAGAAGCACAGACAGGACAACTAGCCACGTAGGCTTCTATGTCTTTTTTCAAAGAGGGCCACCAGAACTGCCATTTAACTAAATGTAATAGTTTCACAAACCCAAAATGTCCTGTGACTTTCAAATTGTAGGCTTTATGCAAAACAGTACCTCTAAGGCTGGCGGGGACATATAACTTTGTACCCACCCATGCCAGGCCATCATGAATAGTGCACTCATTTGAGTGAGCCAAAAACCAGTCATCCATTTTCACCGCCCCTTTTAGCTGTTTGGTTAAATGAGTAGGGATATCAATATTTGCCTTCTGCTGGGCTCTGGTGACCACTGGGGCAGCCAGTTGCTTGGAGGGGACAACTGGATGGATCACTTCTGCCCGGGTGCTATTATACTGTGGTAATCTCGATAAAGCGTCCGCCATAAAAATCCCCCCCCCCAGGAAGGTATTGTAAGGAAAAATTAAAAGGATTAAAATGTTGCACCCAATGAATATTCTTAGGTGACAATTTTCGGGGGGTGGGGTGTCTTTAAAAGGCTCTAAGTTTTTGTGATCTGTCCACGCCTCAAATGGGTGTTTTGCCCCTTCTAGGAAATGTCTCCAAGTTAGTAAGGCCCATCAGACTGCAAATGCTTCCTTCTCCCAAATTGCCCATCTCCTTTCAGTTTCAGTTAGTTTCCAGGAGGTGTAGGCACAGTACTGTAAGGCCCCAGTAGCATTGGCTTGTAGTAAAACCATCCCCACAGCGACGTCACTGGCATCGGCCTGGACCATCCATATTGGGATGCTTAAGAATGGGTTCAACTGCAAACAACTGTTTCAGTTTCTCAAAGGCTGCTTGGCACTCCATGGTCCACTCAAGGGGCTGGCTAGGCTTTGGTTTAACTTCTTTTGTCTTTAAGAGATTAGTAATGGGTAATGCAATTTTTGCAAAGGTGTGGATGACTTGTCGATAGAAATTAGCAAAACCTAGCAAGCTTTGCAACTGCTTTCTGGTGCATGGGAGCGCCCATTCCATGACTGCTTGAACCTTCTCCAGGTCCATTTCTATTCCCTCATGTGATATGCGGTAACCTAAATAGTCAATTTTTCTGGTGAAATTCACACTTTGATAATTTGGCATACAGTTCAGCAGATCTGAGTTTTTTCAGAACTGATCGCACCAATGTTATATGCTCCTTCATGGTCTCCATGTAAACAAGACTATCTACCAAATAAACCAAAAGCCCCTTGTAAAGATGTTCATGCAGCACCCCATTTATCAGTTGCATAAATAGAGTGGGGGCTCCTTGTAATCCAAATAGTAGCACCTTAAACTGGAAACATCCCAAAGGGCAATTGAATGCGGTTTTCCATTCATCTCCTTTCTTAATTCGAACTTTGTAGTAAGCTTCTCTCAAATCCAGCTTAGTGAAAATCTTTCCTTTGGCTAGATGAGCCAGCATTTCCTTCATTAAGGGGAGTGGATAAACATTTTCTACACACACTGTGTTCAGATTTTTATAGTCCATGCAACAGTCCCTTCCTCCAGTTCACATGAGGATTCCATTTCTGGAGTGAAAGCAATTCAAGAAAGAGAGGATCTCCATCCCAGGGCCCACAATAAAGCACAAAGTCTCTTGGTGGTCCCCCATCCACATTTCTACTGGCTCCATCACAAAGTGAGCCAGGCCTACCCCAGCTACTGATCCATCCAACTGGCAAACTGCTATGGGCACTTTCAAGTCTCAGCCCCAGTTTCTCCATCACGTCTGGGCTAATTACACACCTTGTACATCCAGAATACAATAGGGCTAACATTTTCCCTTGGGTGCCAGATGAAGGCACTTAACTCCACTGGGATGGTCATAGGCCCATGTGTCGACTTGCCAGTGGGGTCATCATCGGAATCGGTTTTACTCTCCCCTGAGGTGGTTGGAGTTCCCAACTCCTCCTGTTCTGGAGGAGCGAACTCAATGACTTCCATGCCCTTCAGGGCCGTTTTGCAATGTTTGGCTGGTGGCTTTTCAACTTTCTTCCCTCTGGTGGTGTTGGTTTGAAGCCAGGCAATCAGCAGCTTGATGCCCCTCCTTCTCACATCTGAAATAAGCCATGGACCTGGATATGGCAGCTAGGTCACTTCTGGCAGCTCTAGGAGCCTCTCTCAGGGTAGAAGGTGGAGGCTTGTTCCAGTTGTAGCCCCTATGGTGCCGGTTTTTGGCCAGGTCAATCTCCATATCAGCTGCCAACACATACCAGCGCTGGAGGTCTCGAGGGGCTTGGGAGATACAGCTTTGGTAGACCTCCTCATTTAACCCATTTTTGTAAGATTTCATCAGAGTCTCTTGGGACCACCCACCCATGTGGGTGGTCCCAAGCCATCTCATGAAACTCCTGGGTATATTCAGCCACCGACCTCCACCCCTGGTTTATGGTTTTCATTTTGGTCCTTGCCTTACATTCAG